TTGCCTTCTCATAGGACGATGGCTATCACACGACTGTTGTGGCTACAAAAGAGCAGCTGATCAATGCGCAGCTCCTTACTGGTGGATCTGATCTGAGCCCTATTTTGTATAAGGTGATCATTAGAAAGTGAAGTAAGACAATATTTAGTTGTTTTTTTTTTCAGGGTGTGAGCATGGTTTCTCACAAAAGTAATAAACTTCGTCTTGAAGTATTGCGTGGAACCCATACGACATATTCCTTTGACCCCAAATCTCCAGTTGATGAGGTAAGTCTCAGATGTAACGTAGAACGAGTCTAAAGTTTCCATTCAGTATCCCGCAGCAATAGGTCAACAAGTTGTCCTAGTCGGTGCTGTGCAAGCTCGAAATAATGCTCGCGTGGTGTTCACGGGGTCGTTGGAGATGTTTTCTGATGAATACTTGAGCGCAGACGTGCATCACTTCGCTAAAGGAGCATCGTGAGTTCAATTCATCTCTATAGTCACTTCAGCGAATTTTATCCTAGGTCCGGTTTGGCAAAAACTTTTGTTCATGTTCGATTGGTAATTGTTTAGAAAATATCGGTAAAGCATGCAAATCATGCCAGTAACGCTTCCATCACCTCCTTTTGCCAACTATCTTGATAATCTTGAAGTACCACCAAGCCTGAGTAGGTTTCGAAACTGGAGAAGAAAAGGAAGCCTTGCACATTTCTTGATAAATGGTTGCGTATGGACATGTGAAGCCAGAATTGTTTTTAGAGGACTTACTTTCCTTTTTTCTCGCTGCAGTCATTTCGCCGCTTCTGACCAACAGACTAGTCGATAGACCTAGTGCTGTACTGTCACATGAGTTTCAGTTGATTCAGGTTGATAGGGATTGTCCAAGCTTTGCGAGCAGCGCGTAAAGGCGTGTTTTCGATTATATTCCGCGCTTTTAAACACAATAACAGCGCTACGAAATGGAATAAGGACTAAAAAGGGAGTTATACTTACCTTAGATTTATTGAGATGAAGCATATGTTTGGAATCAGCTTGGAGCGCTGATTCCAAATGTGCTGTTACTAGCTGCTGAGCATCATTGTAAAGCGAGTCATGGTATCGTTGATTCGTTGACCGCACGGATTGCTCAAACGCG